AAAGAAGTGATCTTTAGCTCTACAATCATGATAGATTCCTGAGTTCCTTCCTGGCATTCTAAGATGGGCATCAACCATTAACAGCAAATGTGAAGTCAATTTATACCAATTCAACATATTTCCAAAATTCAGAACTGCAGCAAATACCCAACCTAGATAATCTATTCACAACTATATTTCGAAATTCAAGAATACAATAAATCCAAATTCATTAAATACAATAAAATTCCCACAAATCAAATGGCATGTTGCCCCATTTCAATGCACAACATCTCGCTGGAAATTCACTTTCTGATTAAATAGACAACATACTACCTAAGCACATCTGAAAAATAATTGACGTATATGTACTTGTGCCGAGTTCGTTGGAAACCAATACAGGGAACATGCGGATGGTTGAGGCGATGGCAGTAATTTATTGGGAAAAGCTTTCGACGACGATGCCAACGTCAAAACCTTTCAGGCGCGGCGCGGCAATACTCTGTTGATAACTGTGATCGAAGATGGTGAGAGCTTTGACGACAACCGGATATGGTGGGTCAAGCGACAGCGAAGCCTTTGACGATAGTGCGGCGCGGCGTTGCCCTGACTGAAGTGCGATTAGGGATAGGAGCTTGGAGCTCCCGTTTGGCGATTTTCAGATTGTGAGCTGTGCTTAGGGTTTTGAATTTGGGGGTCGATTTCTTGGGTTCCATTTTGGTTTGTGGAGAGAGAGTATAGAGTTGTGTTTTGTTTTGTTTTTTTTTTTAAAAAAGGGGAATCCACGTCAGTCTGTTTTTTAGTCTGTTTCTTCGACCTGGAGCGCGGTTGTTAATTAAGGTATGTACCCATGATTTTCCCACTCTTGAAATTGTCCCATCCAATATCAATCCCTCCATTGAGTTTTCCTGTCATATCTGACAAATACAGTTTTTATAACTGTGAAACCTCCTGTTCCTCAGCTTTCTGTCCCATCTAATAATATTCCATGGAAAATGGACTCCTGGCTTCTACTCCAAATTTACCAGCAGTAATTTAACTACACAAAAAGGTAAAAATCATAGAAAATTAAACTAG